ACCCCGAGGCGGCTTCATCACCAGGGTTAGAGGCAGGAACGGGATCAGGAGAATGAGAACTGCAGGAGGGTCTATGGGACTGGCTGTCAGGAGGGGACCGGCTTCCTTGAGGGGAGCAGCTGCAGGAGCATGGCAGGGCAGAAGCCAGGCGTGCAGGGCTAAGCAGAGCAGGCAGAGGCAGGCTGGCCCTTTCACAGGCTCCTGCCCGAAGAGAGGGATCAGTGGGGCACTGTGGGACCAACAGAGGGACTTAAAGATAGGGCAGAACAGACAGACGGCCACTGGGAAAATTGCTGTTTCTTATTTAACAGAATATTAGGAGATTATTTAAAAGAATAACTCAGACCCCTGATAGGAGAGTGAAGAAATAAATTATGGTGTATTCATAAAATGGAAACCTCATAGCCATTAAAAAAACAATGCACTACTGCCATGCACTCAGCAACATGCATGGATCAGACATAATACTGAACAAGAGAAGACGTTAGGTATGATTCCATTTATGTCAGCTTCAAGAACTGGCAAAATAACACGTGGTGGTGGAGGTGAGAATAGCGTATCCTGGGAGAGGAGCAGGTGCCGGCTGGGAAGAGGTGCTGGAAATGTTCTGTGATGATCTCGCTGATGTATCTATGCACATAAAAACTCATCCTGGTGCATAGATACGTAGAACCATACACTTTCTATCTTGATTATGTTCAAGTCTTTTTAGAAAAATGAACGGGAGCTCTCTGGGCTCAGACCTAGTTGGCAGTGATATGGCCAAGTGTACCCGGAAGGTCGGCACTGTCGGTAAATACGGGACCCGCTGTGGTGCCGCCCTCTGGAAAATGGTGAGGAACACTGAAACCTGCAGGAGCGAAGCGCATTGTGCCTTCTGTGGCCAAACCGAGATGAAGAGACAGTGTGGGGGTCTGGCACTGTGGCTCCTGCATGAAAACGGTCGCTGGTGGTGCCTGGACCTGCCGCCATCTCGCTGTCACAGAGTCTGCCGTCAGAAGGCTGCGGAACTGAAAGACCCGTAGACGCTCCACAGACATCTGGAATATTAGCCTACGATAAATGGGTTCATTAACGTAAAGGAAAAAAAGAACAGGAGACGTGCACTTGGAGCTCTGCTGTGTCACAAAATACCTCGAAACAGAGCAACTTAAAAGAACAGGCATTTATTGTTTCCCAGTTTCTACAGGAATTTGGGGGAAGCTTAACTGAGCAGTCCCGGCTCTGGCTCTTCTCACGGGGCTGCAGGGGAGATGGCGGCCCGGGGCCACTCCGTGGAGACGCGGCAGCTGCAGCTCAGAGAGCGTGAGCTGGGTCTCACGTGGTGAGCGCAGCGTGAATGCCCAGCCCAGTCAGCTGAGGCATTTAGGTTGCAAATCAGCTAGCCTTAAAATAAAAAGATTATCCGGGTTATCCTAGTGGGTTCAATATCATCACAAAGGTCCTTAAAAGTGGAAGTATGGGACCAGCAGATGGCATAATGGTTATGTTGCCGGACTCCCACATAGTCGGCCACAGTTTGAGTCCCAGACCTGGCGGCTTAAAACTCACACTGGGTGCGTGTGCATATGTGTCCAAGATCCTGAGAGGAAAACAGAAGAGAAGGAACTGTGGCATGGTCATCTCCCAGGGGGGTGATTTTCTCACTTTGTGTCTCTCTGTGTCTCTGTGTGTCTCCAGCGAGCCCATGCACCCTATAGCAAAAAATATCTTTCTAAAAAAAAAATAAATAAAAAACCAAAAGTGGAAATATGGGGCCAGCACGTGGCCTGGTGGTTTAGGTGGCTGGATCCCACAAGGCTGGCCATGTAGTTTGAGTCCTGGAGCTGGCGGCCTGAGAAACATGCTGGGCTCATGTGCACATGTGCCCAAAATCCTGAGAGGAGGGAGAAGGGGTTACAACATAACCATTCCCCATGGAAGTGCTTTCTGACTTTCTCTGTCTCTACACCCACTCACCCCGGCCCCTGTGAGCACGTGCACCCTCTGGCAAAATTAAAGACCAAAACAAAAGAGAGTAGAAGCGGGAGGCCAGATGGCGGCGCAGCGGTAATGCATCGCTCTGCAAGGCCCACAGGTGCCCGGTTTGTCAGGGTTGTGCTGAGACCGCCCTGAACACGCCAGGCACAAGTCCGTGACCTGGGACTGGCTGGTGCTGGGCGTGGGTTGCAGCGTGAAGATCTTGAGGGGGTGCCCATTACTTTCTCTCCCTGTTGTTGTCACTTATGGAAGAAAGAAACTTAAAAAAAAAAAAAAAGTGGAAGCAGGAGGCAGAAGAGTCAGTTCAGGATGACACAGCCTAAGAAAGACTGGGAGCCAGCAGATGGTATAGCGGTTATGTCACTGGACTCTCACATGGACCACTGTGATTCGAGTCCTGGACCTGGCGGCTTGAGAGTCACGCCGGGCGTGTGTGCACGCATGAGCAAAATCCCAGGAAGAGAATGGAGGAGAAGGGATTGTGGTGTGGCCACCCCCCGCCACCGGAGGTGAGTTCGCGCTTTATCTCTCACTGTCTGTCTCTCTCCAGCAAATGCACACACCCTATGCCAAAAATCTTTTAAAAAAAAGACTCAAGATACCACTGCTGGCTCCAAAGAGGGGGGAATGAAGGTGGAGTGCGACAAGGATGGGGGGAGGGGAGCAGGTTCTAAACAAAGCATCGCCACACCCGCCTTCTCCTTTTTCCATTCCTGATCCATTTCTGCTTTTACCACATGCTGTGTTTACTGTACTTGTTTTTTATGAGGAATCTTCAAAACATTCATGGAAAATGCATATTATGAAAAACTATGCCTGGATTTCAGGTGTTTCTGCGCTAAAATAAACGTGTACTTTAATTCCATTTCTCCAAAAACGCTTTGAAGTCCCCTCATATATGGTGCGTATTTCTATTATTCATATTTGCCATCTCTCCTTCAAAACTATAAGCTACTGGGGGCGAGGCCTATATTGTATTCCAGTTTCTGTTTTAAAAATGTATACCTAAAGACCAAATATATTGCTTATTACCGTGTGGCCATTAAGAACTCCACCAATTATTTATTAAGTTGTCTAAAAGTGGAAGCAGTCAATTTGGCAAAGAAATGAAAGAAGAAAGAGGCAACGTGAAATAAATCTTTGAGTCCCATTAATTTCTCTTCCATTAAATTGAAGTCGAGGAATCCCCCCCGGGGCAGGGTAGCTCACTGAAAGACTATTCTCTTTATGCCTTTCTTTCTTTCTTCCTCTCTTTCTTTTTAAATAGTTATTTAATTAATTTATTTTAGTTTTACCAAAGAGAGACACACACAAAGAGGGAAAGTGAGAAAGCAAGCTGCCAGGCCCGGGACTTGTACCATGGTTAACCACGTGGGAGTCCAGTGCCTCAACTACCATGCTACCTGCCAGCCTCCTTTTTTTTTTTTTTTTCCTTCAGATTTTTGCTTTAGGGTATGTGAGCTCTCCACAGAGACACAGAGACAGTGAGAGAGAAAGTGAGAAATCACCCTCCGGAGGAGATGGCCATGCCACAATCTCTTCTAATCCATTTTCCTTCTGGGATCTTATGCATGCAAGCACACACACCTAGTGTGAGTTTCAAGCCACTGGGTCCGGGACTTGAACTGTGGCTGGCCATATGGGAGTACAGCAATGTAACCACTATACCGTCCACTGGTCCCCTCTCTGTGTCTTTCTTTACTCTCATTTTAAGCTGCCAGACTTGCTTATGTTCCCTCGGTTAGGGGGTTTGGGGTAGGGCCAGAGTGGGCTGGTGGGGGGTGGGAGGTCACTCGTTCATCCTCAGCTTTATAAAGACTTAAGGCCAGGGCCATCCGATAGTGTGGTGGTTAGGCCCTGCCCATAGGTAGCAGATCCCAACTGGAACCACAGTGTGAGTCCCAGCCCTGGTGGCTCAGAAAACATGCCTCGTGTGCATGCATGCCCAAATCCTGACGGGATGGAGAGGGAGGAAGAGTGGTTACAGTGTGACATGCTTTACTGAGGGGAGGGTGCCCCGTGCTCGCTCTCTCTTGTCTCTCTTTCTCTTTTCCTGGCAAGCATATACACTCTAGCAATAGGGGAAAAAAAAAAGTCCTAAGGCCAGTCCAGCCATGGTGCCACAACCTGAAAGGCGCCTCTGTGCGATAGCTAAAGCCACATGGGGCCCAGGTTTGGTTCCCGACCAACCTAAAATGGGCTGGGGGTGGGGGTGGGGGGACACACCTGTAGTTCCAGCTAACTGGGGCAGGAGGATTGTGATGAGACCTTGCCCAAAATCTCTCTCTCTCTCATACACACACTTGTACTCTCATTAAAGTAATGAATCAATGAAAGATCTAAGGCCCCTGAAGGACATGTCTCCTTTGGGAGTGGAGAGAGAAAGGGGAAACCTTCCAGATGTAAGGAGAGCAGATCCGCAGAGCCCAGGGACACCAAGTTCCTGGGAGCAGTGAGGACCTGAGTCCTGCTTCGTGACAGGACCTGAGGGGAGCAGTCCAGACCTATGGGTCTCCGCATTATGGAAGCCACGTAGGCCCCACGCAGAGGGAAGGGGCGTGAAGGGCGGGGAGAGGGGTCTGTTCTTTTTTTTTTTTTTGCCATAGGGCACGTGCACTCGCCAGACAGAGACAGACAGAGAGACAGAAAGCGAAAAATCACCCCCCAGGGGGGATGGCCACGCTGCAATCCCTTCTCCTCCATTCTCCTCTTGGGATCTTGGGCAAGCATGCACACATACCCGGCACGAGTTTAAGCCACTGGGTCCAGGATGTGAACCGCGGTCGACCACATGGGAGTCCAGCGACATAGTCATTACGCTAACTGCTGGTCCCTGTCCTGGTATCTTTAGGGGCCTCCTGTGCTTTGAGCTGGAACCGTTGCAGAACCAGATGAAATGGGAGATGGTGGAGGTGAGGGGGGACCCCATGTTGACTAAGACAGAATGCCCCACTAATCCACCAGGAAGCAGGAAGAGGGGCTGAGTCTGAAATACACTCTCCACACGCATGTTTGGTTTTGAAAACAGTGACATGCTTTTTGGCTTTTGACGAAGATTTTTAATCTCCAGATGGAGGCCTGGGGCGGATGGTGTTTAGGAAGCCTGCCCTGGCTGTATAGCTCGGGAGCTGGGGAGCTGGACTGCAGCTGCTGGAAGGTTCTGGGGCTGCACTAGGTCGGCAGTACGTACTCCGTCTCGCCAGCATTGAGGTACAGATAAATCAGAAAGCAGCTCCAGATGGCAAGGGTGATAAAGGTGCCCAGGGCTGGCATGGAAGTTTTCTGCCGGGTGAGGAGAGAGGCAGGCATCTGGGCAAGGTCCACTCAGCAGCAAGGGTGCACCCTCCCACCCGAGGAGCCTCTGGGTGGCAGGCTGTGGGTGGGGCCCCTTAAGTCCTCCTTCCTGGTGCCACGTCCTCTATAGCTGGGGGTGTGCTGGGCGGCAGGGTCGGCCAGCAAGCCCCACTCCCAGCACAAGCCAGGGACTAGCGTGCGAGCAGCCGGAGCTCACTCCTGTGGGATAACGAGGCGCCCGACTGCGATAAGGCACTTCCTGTGAGGATCCACCTACCCCTCATTGCAGTTGTTCTTTAGGGCACACAACAAACATTTCTCCTGCAGAGGACAGAAACAGCACAAGAAAGATCATTTTTCCTTGGTCCAGGCTGGCCAGCCTATGGGGCACCTCATCGGACCTTGCTAAAAAAAGCACAGATGGATCCAGGAGGGTCTGGAGCCGGCTGACCCAGGGCCAAGCCCTGCGTGGCTGCCTCCCGAGGCAGCTCCACCTGGAGGACAGGGCAGGTGAGGGAGAGGCCCAGAGGGAGGCCTGGGGTCAGCAGGGGCGTACCAGTCCTCTGCAGCAACAGGGACAGGGAGGTCAGGTGGGCCTTGGAGCCCAGGCCTGGCACCAGCGCTGGGCTCACGCAGGGTCTCACTTACACAGCAGGACCCGCACTGATGAAGGGAATCCACCGCGTCCTTCTGGGGTTTCTGTGGTGCCATCGTGTTCTTGTGACGGGCTAGGGATGTTCCCTCGGCTCTGTCCATTTTCTTGAGTCGGAGCCGTGGGTCTGTGTCAGCCTTGCCCAGCAGCCCAAGTTCCGGCTGCTCCTTTGGTCCTTTTCTAAGGGGACTGGGGAACCGGGGAGGGGCAGAGAGTTGGGGAGATGGTTTCCAACACAGTGAGGACAGGCGAAAGGCCATGACTCTGAGGCACTGGGGCCAAGAGGAGCCAAGACAACTCCTGAGTCCGAACGCCCTCTGAACCCGGAAGCCCAGCAAAGCGAAGGCGGGAGGAGGGTGGGAGCAGGTTCCACTTACAGCTTCTTGTTCTTCTGCACATTGATTAGAACGTCCATCTTCTCATCCATGTCCTTCTGCATCTCCTTCAAGAAAGAATTCAAAGCGAGAGCCTTCGTGTTGAAAGGCTTTGGAAATCGCTCACCTTTCTCTGCAACCCATCCTGCACCTTCCCTCCTCACAAATCCCCATGGAACTTGGGGAGATGGCTCATGGGTGTCCATGGTGTGTGTCCCCTCCCCCGCTCCCCATTCCATGACTCTAAGGCACAGGCAGCCATCAGGGGACTTGCCCAAAGTCCCCAGGGGAGTGAGGAACCAACAGCTGTGTAATCTGAGCTCGAACTTTGGATAAAACCAGCATCTGTCTTGGTTCGAGGCCTACGATATCACTGAACCAAGAAAATAAATCCTGTGATCCCTTGAAGACACTTTGGCTCCACCATTTTCAACCTTGCCACGAATCCAGCTCCTGTGCATTTGTGTTTGTTCTGTCTTTTGCCTAATTCCTGGCAGAAATGGTCAACACAAAATAAAACCTACAGTAGCTGAAGTGGCATGTCACATTTACTGTTTACTAAGAACTGAAAAAACAAGAGACCAGCAGATAGCATAATGGCTATGTGGCTGGACTCCCATGTAGTCGACCACGGTTCACGTTCCGGACCCGGTGGCTTAAAACTCACGCCGGGTGCGTGTGCATGCATGCCCAAGATCCCGAGAGGAGAAGGGATTGTGAAGAGGCCATCCCCTCTGGGGGGTGATTTCTCGCTTTCTGTCTCTCTGTTTCTGTCTGTCTGTCTGGCGAGAGTATGCGCCCTATAGCAACAACCTCTCAAAAAAAAAAAAAAAAAAAAACAGAACTGAAAAAACAAATTTTTCTTGGAGAAGTTTAGAACTATAAATTTGACTTGCCAAAATTGGATAGAGTGGATAAGAAAGAAATCCTAAAATGACAGAAGCCATAATTGATGATATCTGTTATGTACAAAAATAGATCTGGACTGATCATCATAAAATATCATTGACTCCAGAGAAAATAATTATAGTGAAAAAAAGAGAAAGATTTGGTCACAGTTTCATTGATCTGCTATAGAAAATTGGCCAAGGAATTATACTGTCTGGGTAGAGAGATGATTTCAGGAAATATATCTTTGAAAAGGAAAAAAAAAATGTTTGGCGTTTGGCTCGCTGGAGAGAGACAGAGAGAGAAAATGAGAAGGAAAGAGAGAAATCACCCCCCAAGAGGGATGGCCATGCCACAGTCCCTTCTCCTCCATTCTCCTCTTCGGATTTTGGGCACATATGCATGTGTTCCCAGTGGATTTTTAAGCCAACAGGTTAGGGACTTGAACTGTGGTCAGCCACGTGGGAGAGAACAACGCCTTAACCACAATGCCACCTGCTAGATCCTGAGAAGCATCTGTAAATATTAGTCCATATTTTCAGTATAATATTTGTATTCCTAAATAGAGCCAAATTAACCTTGAAGACAAAATAACCAAGGCCCGGGACCAGCAGTTAGCATAATGACTATGTTGCTGGACTCCCATGTAGTCGACTGCGGTTCGCATCCCGTACCCGGTGGCCTAAAACTCACGCCGGGCTCGTGTGTGTGCGTGCCAAAGATCCCAGGAGGAGAATGGAGGAGAAGGGATTGCGGCGTGGCCATGCCCCCTGGACGGTGATTTCTCGCTTTTTGTCTCTCTGTCTCTCTCTGTCTTTCTGGCGAGTGCATGTGCCCTATAATAAAAACCTCTCAAAATAAATAAATAAATAAATAAAATAATATTTAAAAATAAATAAAATAAAATAAAATAACCAAGGCCCCACACAAAAATCAACTGTCTCATA